CCACCCAGGCGCCCCTTCCCTGTACTTTCTGTTCAATTTCTCGTAAACCTAAAATTCCTTGAAAAAAGTCTTTTTCTTTTTTTTAAGTGCAAAGGATTTCAATGAGCATTTCTTCATAAAAATGGCCAGTAAGGACATGAAAAGATGCTCAGCTTTAATAGCCATTAGGGAATTATAAGTCAAAACCACAATGAGATAGCACTTCACAACCACTAGGATGGCTACAATCAATAAGAGGGACAATAACAAGAGAGAGAGATTGGATTCCGTCATGCACTGCTGGTGGGAACATGATATGGTACAAGTGCTATGGAAAACAGTTTGGCAGTTCATCAAATAAACAGAGTTATCACATGACCCAACAATTCCACTTTTAAGTATATGCAAGAGAAAGGAGAACATAAGTCACATTTTGTACATGAATGTTCACAACAGCATATTCATAACAGCCAGAGTAGAAAAAACCCAAATGTCCACTAACTGAGGAATGAATAAACAAAAGTGGTATATCCATTCAATGAACTATTTGGTTCAGCCATAAAAAGCAATAGTACAACATATCTGAACCCTGAAAATATGCTAAACGAAAGAAATCAGATACAAAACGTCACATTCTGTAAGATTCGATTTATATGAAATGACCCGGATAGGCAAATACATAAAGTAGAAAGTAGATTAGTGGTTGCCAGGGGCTGTGGGGGAAATGTTAATGAAGAGTGACTGCTAATGGGTATGGGGCTTCTTTTTAGGATGAAAAAAAATTCTGGAATTAGGAGCGATGGTGGTACAAGCTCGTGATAAATTCAAAACCACAGAATGGTATAATTTAAAAGGGTAAATTTTATGGCATGTAAATTATATCTTAATTTAAAAAATATATAAAAGGATCTCTAAGCAGTTTTACTTCTTATCCCACTTGTTCATTGTGTAATTAAAGTTGATGATTCTGTTCAGAGTATGTGATCTGTCTTATAGTTTACTGAGAAATGATTCATGTGCACAAGTGGGTGTTAAATTAGTTTTAGGGGAGAAAATGATTTAGCAAAGACTATTCTGGAGCATTAACTTACTTCTCACTAGGGTGTAAGCTTTTGAGAGCTGGTACACAATTATTAATTAGGGAAACGGTACCCATTATTTTATGAACAAACCCTGAATAAATGGGAAGTCCTCTGAGGTGGCAGTAGGTCATACTGTAACTTTTTAAAAAACGGTTTTATTTATTTAGAGAAAGCGTGCATGGGAGGGAGAGAGGGAGGGGGAGAATCTCAAGCAGACTCCTTATTGAGCACGGAGCCCGACATGGGGCTCGATCTCACGACCCTGAGATCATGATCTGAGTCAAAATCAAGAGTCTGAAGCTTAACCAACTGAACCACCCAGGCGACCTCATACTGTAATTTTTTTTTTAAAGATTTTATTTATTTATTTATTTGAGAGAGAGAGAATGAGAGATAGAGAGCACGAGAGGGAAGAGGGTCAGAGGGAGAAGCAGACTCCCCGCTGAGCAGGGAGCCCGATGTGGGACTCGATCCCGGGACTCCAGGATCATGACCTGAGCCGAAGGCAGTCGCTTAACCAACTGAGCCACCCAGGTGCCCCTCATACTGTAATTTTTAAGCAAAAGGGGGCAAGGGAAATATTTGGGTAAACCTCTAACTGGGTCAATTTTTTAAGAGCTCAGTGGTATCTTCTTGATAACTAAAAAATCTTCCTGTGTCAAAAACTAGGGCTTTCCCCTAAAAAAAAAAAAAAAGTGAACTGAGATTCTAGGAAAGTCTGGAATAACAAACGGACACTGGCCAACCTAAAAATATATCTAGCTACAGTAACTGAGCAAGTCACTGGCATTAGTTCTCAAAACTCTGCCTCCCTCACATGTCTGCCCCAGTTCCCCTCAGAGCAGCCTCTCCTAGGGTGACCAGACACTGGGTGTCAGCCTCTATATGGGACACAATTCAACTGTCAAGTACACATTCAGTACATTCACAGAGGCCAAGGACAACAGGCACATGGATGTACTTTTTTTCTTTTTAAAGAATACAACAGTCATACGGTCAAAAACTAAAACCACATAGAAGGATATAAAATGAAAAGTAAGATTCCCAGGGTCCCCTGCTCTCCTTTGCAGATGTGATACTGATTAAGTTTCTTGTGCAAATTATCTTATTTCTGAAATGTTACTAATGTGACAGGAATATTATACAGAATATGTTCCTTATCTATAAAGCTTAAGTCTTCCAGAGCCTGCCTGCCTTTGTCAGAAACTGAGGTTAAATTCAGGTCCCAAATACAGAAACTTAAAATTTTCTTGCAATCTAAAATAGATTTTGGACCTAAATAGGTTCAACTTCTTCTTTTAACAAAAAATTCACACATTTTACCTTTTAAGCCAGATTTTATTTCTTTCTATCCATGGCAAAACAAACTCTTCAAAGATTTATACAAATATCAAAAGTTGGCAGTCACTTGGAAACAATCATTAATTAGATTAATCCATTAAGAAAATGCACTGAATACACTCAAGGTTAAAATGAAACAGTGACACAGGTATGATGCCTTGACAAATAAATCAACGGTTCTTGGTAAAACTCCCAATACCGAAGAGAGATATAAAAACAAATGCCCTGCGAATTCCAGTTTTGCCTGTAACGAGGTCTCAGCTGATCCTCAGATAATAAGGTTAAGAATGACATCACTGTAACTGGCAGGGGTGGTGGGGAGGTTGAAATAATCTGGGAATTGCAAGGGTGTGGGAAGTAATCCAATTAATAGCAACAACGAAAATATGTAATCTCACAACAAAATGAGTGCTGATTTGGAAAATTAATGTCTGTGGGCATTTTTTTCCCCAAAGGGGGAGCAGAGCGAATGTGGGAAATTAATTTTTAGCAATATTCCTAGGACCTAAGGCAACCACACGTCTGGAGCTACTGAACCCTCCAAAGCCTCAGTATCAACAAGCTCTTCACATGGTCATTGTCCTAATATTTGAAACTGAAAAACGGATGCAGCCTTGCCATAGCCAACAAATTCAAATTCTTACTAATCAATCTCTGGTCCTTCATATCCCATCCCTATTTGCGCCCTTTCCAAAGATGCAAAGAAGCTGCCCCTCGTGCAAGTGAAGCTCACCTGGGCTCAAGAGGCGGCGCGCGCCCAGGGCTCCTATCTCAGGGCAGGAGACGGCAGGTGATTGGAAAGGCAGCCGAGGCAGGACTTCCGTCGCCCCCGTCCGCAGTCTGCTGGGCTGCTTTTCAACTGGAAGAGGCTGGCGCCCTAACATCTCAGACTGAACAGTGAGCTGGCAAACAAGAGCCCTGCCAGCAGAGGGAAGGAGCCTGCAGAAGGGTTGGCCAGGCGGCTCTTCTCTCATCTTCGATGTTCTTGAGGAAAAGCTTCCTCTAAGGTGAGCCAAGTTCAGCGGCTCCTTCTGACCTAGAGCAACTATGTGCCGCTCTGGGAGTTTCTAGCCATCTCACCGGATTCTCCTCACTCAGCTCTCGCCCCAACAGCGCTCGGCGCCCCTGTCTGGGAAGCTCCTAGGGAAGCAGATGAAACTCATTAGGACATAGCCCATCAAAGGCAACACAAGTGTTCCACCAGCTGTGTACGGGGCCCTGCCCGCCACTGAGGCAAAGGCCACAGAAGAAATATTTTTACACAGAGGGCTGCACAGTCATTGTCCTCTTTGACTCTGTCCTCCTCTGTCTAGCTCTCTGCCCTGACAGCCTCAGTCTGTCTTCACCATGTTTCATCTCCCAGAGGCACAAGCACTTCTTTTTAGCTTATGAAATCAGGCCTGTTGGGGTAGAGGGTAAGACCAAATGAACAAGCCTCTGGATGGCTGGGAAATGGCTGCTGGGCTTTTCAGTTTCATGAGGCGGTTAGGCCGGCTGGGTCCTCTTCATCCATCGTCACATCATCCGTGTTTTTCTTCTGTTCAGCCTCTGGCCCTGCAGGCAGAATGCTTGTGACGGTGTGGAGGAGGGCTTCGATCTGCTCCTCTGTGAGCCGTTCTTCACTCTCTTCTACCATCTGCAAAAGAAAACCTCTAAGAGTTACAGGATGAGCCGCACAGGCGGAGTCCACCTCACCCTCCCCACCCATGCTGTTCCCAGTCCGCTGGCCTCTGGCATGCCGAGCTCAGGGGGCCCGGTTCCAGAGCCCCCTCGGGTCTCTGGGTCCTCTCCATCCTGGCTCCAAGGGAGGGAGAAGCCAGCTCCAATTCTTATGCGACTGCTCAAAATGGGTCGGGGTACAAAGCAAGTTGCAGGTTAGCATTTTTCTTCAAAGAAATAGAAAACCCAGGGGCACCTGGGTGGCTCAGTCATTAATCGTCTGCTCAGGTCATGATCCCCGGGTCTCGGGATCGAGCCCCACATCGGGCTCCCTGCTCCGCGGGAAGCCTGCTTCTCCCTCTCCCACTCCCCCGGCTTGTGTTCCCTCTCTCGCTGTCTCTCTCTCTGTCAAAAAATAAATAAAAATCTTAAAAAAAAAAAAACCCTACCAGTTCTATACCCATCTACATGCACACATGAATATGCTATATGTGCAAAGAAAACTCACCTCTGGGGAGTAAAATGGCACTTTACAAACTTTTGTATTTCACAAGCACAGCTGTAACTCACGAATTATATCAACAACTCATCTGACTATTGCTCACTGCGTGCCAGGTGGTTTATCTATTTTTTCCTCATCCCCACCCCTGCCCCCCACTAACAGCTCTTTAGGGAGCTCATGTGCCTGACTGCACACAGCACTTCATATCTGTTATTTCTTTTAACCCTCACAACAATCCTGGCAAAGGACAGAATGAGAATCCAAGCCAGGCCTGCCCAACACTAACACCAACAATCAATCTAACACACATCATGTGGTCCTGGTCATCTCCTGGGAATGTGGGGCAAGAGTCTGATGAGTGATGGCTGGGAAATGATCCCCCGCTGCCTCACTAACTTAGGTCCACTTAAAGCCCAATCTAACAAGTCCTGGAAATCTACACATGGAGGATCCACAATTATGAGCCAGTTTTCTTAGCCTCACCTCTAGTTCTCGATACATTAATGAATACATAGTCAACAATGTTGTTTTTTTTTTTTTAAAGATTTTATTTATTTGACAGAGAGATAGAGCCAGAGAGCACAAGCAGGGGGAATGGCAGAGGGAGAGGGAGAAGCAGGCTCCCCACTGAGCAGGGAGCCTGACGCGGGGCTCAATCCCAGGACTCTGGGATCATGACCCGAGCCGAAGGCAGACGCTTAACCATCTGAGCCACCCAGGCGCCCTGTCAACAATGTTTTTAAGGGTAATATACAGGGAGGCAAATTACTTACCCTTGTTCACTTAGTGGCACCAGCCATCTATCACAAACAGCTAAAGGTGTCCAGGGTTCTGTTCTGTGGTATTTCCCACAGCAATCTCTGAAATCTGGCAACTAAGACCAAGAGGAATTCCACAAAGAAATCCTACCAGATTTAAGTAAAACAAAATGACAGACTAGGCTTACAACCCTGAAGAGGATTTCAGTCTGACTGTCTCACTTTATAGACAATAGTAGAGAAGCTAATTAAGTCAGGTGATGTGTCCAAGTTCACATCACAAACTCCTCGCAAACCATCCGTCTCTTCATTCACCTAGGTCCAAAAATGTTTCTACAACCAGAGAATAATCCTGAGTGTTCTAGGGTGGAGAAGATCCTGAGTGACCCAACGGGGCTACTTCCCATCACGCTGTGAGATAAAATGACCATCTCCCAAAGATTCAAAGGCTCCGTAAAATGTAACCTCTACTGAACAAGAAATAGTCCTCAAAAACCCATTTTTTAAACCAGACATACAAAATTAGGGTGTGTAAAAGGAAGTAATCTAACACAGACTGCCTCCAAAATATGAAGGAGCTGGAAAGGGGTATATCCGATTTGATTATTTAATCCTAAGAAAAGATGATCTCCATTTGAGAGGAATGTCTCCAAATTTATAAACTGGCACGTGCAATTGATTATGAACTGTTTCCTGACTCAGGGGAAGTGGGAAAGGAGATTCAGACTAGTCTCAGGACAATTACTACCTCCCACCAGTATTTGCACAGGGGCTTTCCCAGAATCACTGCCACCAGAGCTTCTCAAGCATGCGGTCCCTAAAGTCAGGCCAATTTACAGATGAGTAAGTGCAGGCTCAGCATTATAAAGAAAACCTGATGTGGGTCTCACAGCAAGTAGTGTAAGGTCTTTTGACTTTGGATTCCAGCTCTTTCTAGAACACCATACCTTTATTCTTTCCTCTCGCAGAGATGCAGACTAGAGTCCACTGGTTTGAAAGAATTTAGTTATATGACTTCTGAGAGGCCTTCATTTTTATTTATTTTTTATTATTTTTTAAAGATTTTATTTATTTCTTTGACGGAGAGAGAAGCAGTGAGAGAGGGAACACAAGCAGGGGGAGTCGGAGAGGGAGAAGCAGGCTTCCTGCGGAGCAGGGAGCCCGATGCGGGGCTCGATCCCAGGACCCTGGGATCATGACCTGAGCCGAAGGCAGATGCTTAACGACTGAGCCACCCAGGTGCCCCGAGAGGCCTTCATTTTTAGAAAACCAAATAGAGAAGACTTGAACAGGCCACTTTCTTGCATCCTGATCTCTGGGTCTGGCAGATGCAACAATGATCAGGCTCAGCTAAATGTGTTCATGGCAAGAGGGCCGAAGAACAGAAGCTTCCATCAGCACACAACCCTCAGGGTCAGAAACTTTCCTTTTCAAACTAACATTCCCAGTCACAGCAAGAAAACAACTTCATTAAGCAAAATGAAACACATATACACAAAGAAGAAACTTTTCAGAAACCAAAAACTTACTAACCCCTCTTGGATCAAGGCAAAATGATACTAACTGTTATTACTCTTCACCTTTTCTTCCCAACACAGAAGAAACTGAGCCCAAATAAACATAAAGCACCGGCTCAATGTTCTCAAACACCCAATGTTTCAAGTTGTTCGGTATATAAAGGCGAATGAAATGTAAAAATCCCAAGTATTTGCAGATGTGTCAACAATAAATTTTTATCACATACAAAGACCATATTAATTCCTAGGGGCTGTCAAACTGGGCTGCTATACTCCAAAAATGTTTTTTTCTCATTCTAAGCCATCAAGACTAACTTCCTACTTTATCCAAAACAACAAAACAACTCAAACCTAATAACTATGGACACTTCTAGCTATCTGACCCAGAACGGTTCACTTAATCTCTGTAAATTTCAATTTTCTCTAATGTAAAATGAAAGTAATGCCTACAGTAAGGACCAAATGAGAACATATATTATAGTGTTTTGTAAGCCATAAGACTCTATCTAATCCAAGACATTTTATAATCACTAACTTATAACAGGCGTATATGGTAGTGCTGTTCAGGACAGTGACTTGTGAGGTCATGAGGTTCACTGTCCTGTCTTCAGGCCAGAAAGCTCACAAACTGTCCCAAATGAATACACAACAGGGAGTGGCAGAAATCACAGAAGCTGGTGACTTCCTCATTTCCTCAGACTGAGGTTCACAACAAATCATGCCTGAGGTATAACTAAAAGAAGCCACAGCCTCCAAAACTGAACACTAATAAATGCTGGATGCTGAAAATACTTCTGGGACACGGGGAGAATAAATGGCTGTAAGGTTAATGCAGGGAAATTCTCAAGTCCTCTGTACTTCAAACCCTGTGTGAAAACCTCATTTCTTATCCCTCTCTTGGGAGAAGAGATACTGCCACAAGCCTTGGTAAATGTTTTGCTACCCTTTGTAGCCAAATCCCAGGCTGGGGAAAATCTGACTATAAAATGGTCCAACTGCTGGGAAACAACATACACAGTATTTACCAAGACCTATTACTTAACCTGTGAAAAGGAGAAAAGAACAGACAGTCTCAGGGGACGCCACACACATCTTTCTTCTCTCTATGCAAAACGCATGGCTTGGAGGAAAGTAAGGCTTTGAGTCAAACAGACCCAATTAGCCACTCACTAGCAAAGACTATGGTGAAGGCATTGAAGGTGACATATACAAAGCCCACCGCATATAGTAGGCACTCTTAATAGCAGCTAATCGTACCGTAATGATAGAGCTTTCTACCAGCTCTGGGATGAGGTCACGCTAATCCTCATCTCCTCTCTCCATCTGTCATTAAGCCATGAATAACATATGTTGCTGATTAAAGTTGGAGGAGACAGGACATGTGATCTTTAACCCAGAGGGACATGGATTAGTTTCTCACTGATTTGTTTGTTTTTTCTTTTCTAAGCTGAATCTCCAACACAGTTGAAAGCATCAGAATAAGAGTACCAAAAAAAAAAAAAAAAAAAAAGATCTCTATTTAGCCTGAAGCCCAGTTCCCCCAGAAAGTCACCCTTTATGGGAGTAATTTTTCTAATTTAATTTTGGGTGCATTTTGAAGGACAGAAACAACACTGGGAAGACAATAATAAGTTTTAGTCAAAAATTAAGTGCCCCGTGAACCTTTAAAAAAGGGTTCTTTTTAAAGCAACTCTAAACATCATAGCTATTTTTGGCTACTTTCTTCCACAAATTTCTGAAGGAACTTTGACAAAGGATAAGTATTTCTAAAACTGACTTTGCAAACTCCTTAATTCTCATTTTGTTAATTCTCCAATCAGTTTTTCTTACTGTCAGTTAAATGGCCTGCCTAATATTTGGAGCTTAACGGTGTTCTCTGCCCTCTACAGCAGAGGGAAACTGCCCCAGGACACCAACACAGCAACTGCTCAGGTTGTCTCACCGGGCCTCAATTTCATATTCTCCCTAGACCATGTGTGGCTTCTACTCTCGCACAATTCTAAAGCTTTATGCTGCGATTGCTGTGTAGACTGTGCAATGAGGAGAATCCACTAAATGGTGGTATGCACGGAAACAAGATGATCGAGTCTGTGGTTTTAGAACGTGAACTCTGACCGCGGTGGAGAAGGTGGACTGGAGGAGCCAGACTGAGGCAGGGATGACGACAGAGGACAGCCGCGAGAGCCACACTGAGAAATGACAGAAATGAACACGGTGCAGCAGGGAGAGTAGAGAACAAGGGAAGACAGAAGCAACAGAACCTGGGGACTAACGCATCTAAGGTCAAAGGCAGAGAATGACTTCCAGGTGTCTGGCTTGGGAGACTGGGCCAGGAGGCGAGTGAGAAAGAGAGCATGGGGGGAAGTGCACTTGTGCTCTGTGAGCCAAGAACAGAAACAGGAAGAGTAGGGTCGAAGGGTGGGAGTCGGGGAGGAGAAATTCTGCCAGAGTCATGGTGAGTCTATTGTTTTCATGCAACATCTGGTTGGCAATAACCCCTGCAGGAAAGCAATGGCCAGAATGGGGCAGGACATCAAGGGAGACAAAGAGCTGCTGAGACACAGGCCCAAACCCTAAGGAAGGAACTAAATTTCCTCTATTCTACTTTCTATAAGTCCATACTAACTAGGATCAAACTGGTGAGGTCTCCTTTCACTGAAGAAATGGGGGTAGTCGGACAGTCTTTTCAAGAAACGGCAGTTCCAGCCTTGTCTGTTCTCAGCCTTCCTCCCTCTCAGACCCAGACACCAAGCCCCTCACGTTCAAGCCTCCTTCACTCACCAGCTGGATCTCAACAGCAGTCATAGGCCTGTGATTCAGCAGCTGAAGCTTTTCGGCTCTGTCAAAAGGAAAGTACAAAGCATTTAAAACTTATTCCCTTCAGAATCTTGAGTCTTGACCAAGCTGTTTAGAGAACACTGTGTCAGATAACAAATGGGAGAACCAGTTGGAACATGGCCTTCAGTTTCTTCAACTGTAAAATGAGAGAATGGGAATAGGAGAGCCTATGTCAGAGACTCTTAGAGGGTACAAATGTGCATTAGAATCCTAAAAACAACAGAGGTATGGATTAAAAGAAATATAACAAATAGTAGAGGTGCAGTTTTAATAAATTTTATCTGAAAAATATGAAGAAAATAACATTTTCTTAATCCAGATTATAGAAAGTAAAGATTAATAAAATAATCTTGGTTGGTTGGTATCACTTAGAAATGGCTGAGAATTCCTTTTTGAGATTAATATTAAACGTCAGATTTTGACTTCAAAACAAAAACCAGGACTAGAAGGGGGCAGGGGGCTAATGTATAGAGGTATAAGACACAGTCCTCTGCCCACAGAGTTTACAATCCAGTTGGGGAAAGAAGACAAATACAAGCAAATTTTAACAAACATGTAAGTAACGTTGAAGGCAATAATTATCACCTGTCACAAGGCAATATCTAGCTCATTGCTAAAGGGGTGGCTGAAACGTGTGACCTCTCCAAGGTGATATAGGACTTAAAAGAAAAAAAGAACAGCTTCAGTTACCACCCCTGTGCAGGTGACAATTTCTAAGTTTCCCCTCTCAGTCTGACCTGGGAGCTTCAGATTCATCTTTCAGTTCAACTCAGTAAATAGCTACTGAGCTTAAAGACATTCTGAAACAGATGAATGAGCCACAGGCCCACAGCCGCATTTGGGGAAGCAGCACATGAGCCAGCCTCCCTATGCCTCGGACTCACCATCTGTAAAACAGGAATGATAATAGAACTTAATATCTCACCAGGGGGTTAGGAGGGATGAACATCTTTCCATTTATAGTGCCAACAGCTACCATTTATTGCTCACTTCCCATATGGCAGGCACATTGAACCCTCAGACTTAATCGACGCTGAGATGGTAAATAACTTGCCCAAGGTTACACAGCTAGTAAATGGCAGAGCTGGGACTTGGCCATCAAAGCTTCAAAGCTCATGTTCTTAACCATCTGCTTCTAGTATTCAGTATGATGACTGTCATGTCACAAAGCTATTTCTCCACAAATGGCAGTCATCAGGAAGGCACTTGTAATTAAGTTCTACTCCTCATAATCCCCCATTTACTCTAGACTCAAAGATGACTTCACAGAGGAGGAAACCCTTGCAATGAGCCCTGATGGGTTTTCTAGGCAAAATGATGGAGGAATGGGCAGTCAGGGCAGGAACAGCCTAAGTAAAAGATCAGAAGAACAAAAATTATGGAGTTTTAGGAAATGGCTGCATGAGAGGCTGTGGGACATGAGGCTGAGTCATCAGGACAAGACCACATGGGCTCCAACTACAAGGCTGCACATGACTCTGCGGACACCTAAAAGCAACCAAGGAAAGGAGTGATACGCTCTCAGGTAAGAAAAACTGAGGCAGGGCTGGCAATGTGAGGCTGGACATGTGAAATGCTCCTGGTCACCCTCAGGTATAGTCAACAGGACGTGACAACTGCCTCAGTTGGGTGGGGACAGGGCGAAGGAAGAGAAGAGTCAGGGCTCAGTGTCAGGTTTTCAGCCTGTTTGGGAAAAATATATTACTTGAAATCTGAATTCGAGTTTGTGGTGCTTTTGGAACAACGAAGAGATCTCTGTCCAGCCATTTGTCTAGTTTTAGTTCTAGTGTGACCTAGAACTAAAGAAAAAGACCAGAGCTGGATGTATTAGCAAGGAGTTTTACAAAACCATGGGAGTGGATATCACAGTCCACAGACCAACTATAGAGTAAGTGATGACCCAGGATGGGGCACCATAAAGCACCTCCAGTCAGGGGTCTGGGAGAGAAGGTGGTGAAGAGGAGCAAAAAGAGGCAAAGAAAACCTAGGAGAGTGGTGTTAGAGAAATTAAGAGAGGAAAAGCTCTGGGAAGAGGGTATTAGCAACAATGTCATGCTGAAGGGCGGGAAAGAAGGTTGACAGTATAGAAGTCACTGGATTTGCCAAGAAAGAGGGCACCAGTGGCCTGTGCAAGGAGTTTGGTGGGATGACAGTGATGGTGACAACTGGATTGTGGGGACTGGGGATTGACTGTGGAGAATTTTTCTGTAATGTAGTGTCACCACTTTATTAAAATCTTCAAAACAGTCTTTATTCTACATTTTGAGTATAAAAAATCCACAAGTGCGCCACAGTACAAAGAGAAACATACAATAGAGAATTTCCATAATAATCAATGGCATAGCCAGACACCACACGTACAGAACACAACATTTAGATGAACTGAAATTGTAAGATAAAATAAAGCCCAATTTCTGAAAACAAAAATCAAAGTACTAAGGATCCCAAACATTCTTAACCCTAATGAGATTTCACTGGACTCAAATCACTTGGAGGTGAGGCATTCACAATATGACCCCATTAACCCAGCTTAGGAATTCTTGGGACCATGAGTGGCTGCATCAGGCAGGCTGACAACACATGGCAACCAAATTTTGATGTGAAAATTCTTTTATTTGACTCTAAAGTTTTTTGACTTTTGAAAGGCATCCTCCTCACTGCCCCTCAGATTTTAAACAAACTTGTTTTCAGTACAGTTTGTACTGATGTTCTTTGTTCAACTGAACCTCAGTTTTTCCGGCACCAAAGCAAATTTAGGTTTGGCTCATGTCTGATCAAACAACCTATGAGGAGGGTCTTAGAGGCAGATGCAAAAGCAGAAGCAATGGGGTCTGTGCTTAGGGTACCGAAGGGGTTTCAGAGGATCCTTGTGAAAGACTAGTTAAAAGACAGCACGTGGGGAGATGTGCAAGGAGAGAAGGAAGTTAGTCTGATTGGCCTGTCCTGCAACTCTGATTCAATGGAGAATGTCAGGAGGGAACAGAAGACAAGGTTTGAGGGTGGGACATGGGGCAAAGGATGGAAAGGCAGTCAGACAACTAAAGCGTTTTATTTATGACATGTACTATAAGTCAAAGACTTAAAGGAGACTAAAGACCAATCAGAGTAATTTGGCAACTTTAATTCTTAGGAAGATGAAAGTTCCCTCCAAGCCTGATTTGATACTTCATTACTAAAAGCAAAGTATGGTATAGTATAATTCCGGAGGAATTCAAGGAAGATCCTTAGGGTTGTTTCGCCTACATTAGTTTATGAATGGCTACCTCCCCTACATCAAAATGCTTCAGGGAGATACTGCTTACCATAATATGGTGTCTCATTAAATTTGAAAAGTGTCCAAAAGTTTGGGCACCAGAAAGACCCACGAGAGGTGTCTGAAGTGAAACGTGAGGTTGACAGGATGAAAGCAGCTGAACTGTGATAGTCTTTCCCAGCACTGGTGGTCTGGTTCCTCACCAGATCCTGGTGCTACCATCTAAGCCACCCATGAAGAGGTTCCCCTTCCACTGGGTTCCAAGGACAATGGCTCGCTGCGTGACTGTAGGCTGAGCAGCACGGGGAAGGCATCCTGGGGGTGGAGGAGGAGTGCTGCCAGTAGCCCCAGCTCTGAATCTGGTACCTGCAAAATACCCTCCTTCCACCAGCACTGTTGAACCACGTGGACAGATGGGACCAAGTGGGTAAGAAGCCACAGGGATTGTGGAACCTAAAGGGCCATAAGCCATAGTGTAGGCCCTGGGAAGATACAGTGAGGTGCGAGGGAAAGCAGCTGATGTGGCAGGGACTGTGGCAGCCCGTGGATGCACCAAGGTCAAACAACAGAGCTCTGCGTACAGGCGGAGCGTCAGTACAGGCGGAGCCTGGGGGAGACACGAGGTCTGAGGGTACACTGGATGCCCGCAAGGCTGCACACGGGAGACTGGCCGTGTTAGATACTGACCTTGCCTGCTCACAGTGGTTATGGGTCTGGTTCTGCTCAGCATCAGAGACCAAAATAACCTCTTGACAGGTAGAAGTAAAAGAGCAATTACAGCCTGAGGAGGGTAGGTTCTGGAGGGACATTGGAGCACGTTTGCCAGCTAAGGAGATAAGCTGAGGAAAGACTGAAATTATAGGGGAGAAAGGGAAAAAGACCCTCGGAAAAACAAAAGTCCAAAGTTTCAGCAAAGAGGCTCATCATGTTCCACTGAGACCACAGCAATGTGGCGGGGGGTGGGGTGGAGCAAATCTGAGGGGATCTGAAGGGAAAGGAGTTCATTTTGGATAATTTTCTCAGTGAAGCAGAAGTGAAGTTACCATCTGGGAGGTTAGGATGGGACCAGGAATAAGACCAGCAAGCAGGTTTGTTTGTTTGTTTTTGAGAGAGAGAAAAGGAGAGGGAGGAGCCCATTGCTGGGCTCAATCCCAGGATCCTGAGATCCTTTTTTTTTTTTTTAAGATTTTTATTTATTTGTCAGAGAGAGAGAGAGAGAGAGCGCACAAGCAGGGGGAGTTGCAGGCAGAGGGAGAGACACCCCGCTGAGCCAGGAGCCTGACGCGGGACTCGACCCCAGGACCCTGAGATCTTGAGCTGAACCAAAATCAGACGCTTAACCAACTGAGCCAGCCAGGCGCCCCAAAGCAGTTTTAAAGATCCAACTGAGCTGGAAAATATGAACCCTCATTCTAAATAAAATTACTTATTTTAACCGTCATTACCCAACAGTATGAATAAAGAATAGAGAAAGAGCAGGAATAGAGAAAAAATATAGCTGAATAAACGAGCATCTCTGCTACAAATCAATCAAACAATGGAACTCAGTTCATTGACCGGTCATTATCCTGCTAGGCTCTGAACTGTTGGAAATGTTCCTACAGTTACACAAAAGGATCTTGCAAGTCTTCTAGCAACAAAAACACTCACAGCTGCTCCCTCAAAAAGCCCACTTGGAGTCAAACCAACCAAGTTCTCTGCTCCCACATTCAAGGAGCTGAGCACTGCAGGAGCAAAATCACAGAACC